GCATCATCTTAAGGCTCTTGGATCCTTGCTGTGGCCATGTTAGATTGTGACATCAGAGACAAGAAAGCACACTTTAAAAATTCTTAGATCCCATTTTTAAATTAAAAGACATTTCGATGAACTATTATGATACTATTTCAGATGGCTTTAGGACACTTAAAATACCTCGAAAATTATTCTCTTCCCTTGAGCCAATCAACAATTGTAAAATAATTGAAATATCGGACTTTGTGAATTTGCAGAATGACTGTATGTGCAAAGCTATATGCGAATCAGGCATCATATTATCATATTTTCATACAGTATTATTTTATAGCTGTTGATTTATTATAGAGGGAAAAAGGGATAGTTTTAGAAATATTTTAAAAGCCATCCCAAGTGCTGTTTCATCGAAATATCTTTTTATTTTAAAATGGCATTTAAGAATTTTTAGCGTGTTTTCTCGTCTGACATCACAATTCCAAGATGGTCGATCAGGAGTCTTAAAAACACTGACAAATCGTAGGTTAGAAATTCTTATGTCTTAAAAACTACTAAATATAAAAAATCGTAAATATTTTTTATTATTTAATTTTTTTAATAAACTTTTAAGCCTTTTATTATCCTAAAATTTTAGGACATTTTCTACGAACGCGCATGCGTGTGTATCTAGGGTTTATCATAATTTTCATACACACACGCACACACTCACACACATACGTATATGTATATATATATATATATTGCAGAAGTCACTGTATGCTATATATGCTATGATCATTGATTAAAAATATGTATTAATGGTGTACATATATCTGAATCTCGATAATAAACGCGGATTATTAAATATATTATATTAAATCGCGCGATTTGTTCGAGAAAAATCGACAAACTATATAACGGAAGACTTTTGTAATATTTGCTATTATTAGCATGAGAAAACGCGTAGACGTTGGTATGCATATTGAAATATCGGATGTTTAAGAAGAAAAAAATATATGTATACACAATTCGAATTCGCACGCAAAAAATGATAAAATTAACGATAGATAAAATATACGCATACGCACATTCAAATTCTCATCTCTTAAAATTCTTGAAATTAAATTATACATATAGTGTGTCATTTTAATGTCCTATCTTAACCCTCAGTTACCACTCACTTTTGGCCACCCTATTTTACCACTTATGGGTTAGAGTAACCCAGAATCTTTTTTTGTTTATATTTCTGGATCTAATAAAGCTATTTTGAAGTATTTTTTTTCAATCGATACGCCAGATAGTAAGAAAAAAGCATATATCGGTACAAATGTCACCAGATTTCTACGACTCGAGATATTTAAGAAAAAATGAAAAGTGATTTTCTAAAATTTCGAAAAAATCATGTTTGATATGGGTTAACGTAACCCAGAGAGGTAACTGAGGATTAAAGTTGTTTGCAAGAAGATTAGAGAACAGGAGACCAAACTCCTTAGAATTTCAGTGGTGGTAAGTCAAAATATAGTTTTATTTCATGGACGCTGTTTGCGGTATGATCGCTGGCCAATTCATGAACTACGGCGTGCTGGACTTCGAAGTTTCGTGCAATATAAGGGTATAAGCACAATGCAACGTAACAATGACATAAGTCGCGTTGTAAATCGCAGATGTAAACGTAGGTTAACGCACAAGTCGTGGCGTATGCCGTATATCGTGAAAACGTGCCAAAGTCTTAAACAGCTATATATGAATACGGCCTAAATCATTGTGCATTTATTTACATCTCCGATGTACGTTTATTACGACTCTGGAAACGACTACGACAATCTTTGTGCTCAGGCCCTAATCAAGAACATAAACTTGGCATCTTAGCAGAATGTAAATTTTGGTGTCGTAAGTATTAATAAATAATATACGATATTTAGGAACGACAAAGTTCACATAGGAAACCTTTTTTTATAAAACAAGCGAAGTCCAGCACGCCATAGTTCATGAATTAAGCGGGGAGCACACACTTTTGCATAGGCGCATAAGCGTAAGCATAAGAATCTTGATTGGTCTATAAACGTATGCATAAGAAATTCAACTAATCGAATTTCTTATGCATATGCTTATGCGCTTATGCAAAAGTGTGTGCTTCCCGCTTTAGCCGACGACCATACCGCGAACTGCGCCCATAAAATGAGACCATATTTTGACTCACTCCCACCACTTGAGTTCGATCTCCTGTTCTCTAGACTTCTTGACAAACATTTGTTTGACTTAAGGGAGATATATACCAAAAATATCAATTTCTTTACAGACAGCGTAACTTTTAAGAAAAATTCACAATACTTTTTTTTTAAATAGAGAGACTGAATTTTCTTTTTCTAACAAAAGTTGTAGCTCTTGTCAAAAAATTCAACTATCTCATACAGCACACAAGTTTGCAGCAATATTGCAGCAACATTGCAATATTGTATATTGCATAACAATATTGTAGAAATATTATATAAGCATGAATTTGCAATATAGTTTAAATAACGTTGCAGCAACATTTCAGAAATATTATGAAAATAAAATTCACGCAAAAAATATTAGGTACAGAACATTCAGTCCGATCATGTATTTGGCACATTTCCAATAATCCAATAGTAATATTACATATATATATTTTATTGCTGCAATGTCATAGAACAATATTTCTGAAAGCGGACATTTTACCGTTGCTGCAACCTTGCAGCAAGATTGCTGCAACATTTTACAATGTTTATGCAATGTTGTAATATTGCAATGAAATGTTGCCACAATGCTGCTGCAATCTTGTTGTGCTATATGGGTCTATGTATTAGTTAAGAGTTTCCTTGATTTTTTTTATAAATTATATAATTTTGTAATATAATATATATCTATATTACATATTATAATATTAATACAATTGTCGCTCGTATATTGAAAACAAAGTGATAATATAAGGCCAACTTATCGAGCTGATATTCGAGATGTTCAGTCAACTACCATTTATTACATGTATAAATTATAAAACTACAGTCATTATATTAAAACTAACGCAAATTACAATCATTCTATAAACGTTTCGACCGCACGCGGTCTTCTTCAGTATAATTATTGAAATATAAATTCTTACAATTCACATAATATCGAAATTTAATTATAGTTATTCAGAATCAAGAGTTTTTGAGCAATTAACGCGTGTTTCATCCGTCCTGTCCATGTTCGCCTCGATATGATCCCTGATTTTGTTCAGATCTCGGATAGTTTCATCGTTAATTGGGACAATGTTAAGATCATGGACAACGAAAATAATTATTATAAAAGACTCATTTCTGAGATGCTACATATCAAGGAACAAAAAATGGACTAAATTTAAACAAAGATACTGAACTTAGCGAGTCGTATTTTGATATTTTGGATATATTAGCGAACAAGAAATAATAATAGGACAACAGAACGATGATAGGTAAGCATACTACCAATTGTAGGGGATACATATTATAATTTGGACATACGTTGATCGGTAAATTTTTATTAATCGCAGCGCCTACGGAACGGGTTAATTTCTCGCATATTAACGATGAAACTATCCGAGATCTGAACAAAATCAGGGATCATATCGAGGCGAACATTGTTGGACAGGACGGATTGAAACACGCGTTAATTGCTCAAAAACTCTTGATTCTGAATAACTATAATTAAATTTCGATATTATGTGAATTGTAAGAATTTATATTTCAATAATTATACTGATGCGGTCGAAACGTTTTAGAATGATTGTAATTTGCGTTAGTTTTAATATAATGACTGTACATGTAATAAATGGTAGTTGACTGAACATCTCGAATATTCAGCTCGATAAGTTGGCCTTATATTATCACATATATAATATTGTAATTAATTAATTATATTATATTATTAATACATATACTTATTTTAATATATATATATATATATATATTATATATATTGTATATATATATATATATATATATATATTTTGTAATATATATTTTATAATTTAATTTTATAATTGTACAAAATTGTGTAATTCATGAAAAAAATTAAGAAAAAACCGTTAATTAATACGTATAAATAAAGTCTCGACGAGACTTACAACTTTTGTTTAAAAAAATCAGTTTCCATAAAAAAGTGAATTTTTGGAAAGTAGTACCTTCTGTAAGTAAATTGATACACTGTCTTGTGTCCCCTTAAAATGAAACATTTTTTTGTAAAAACGTAAGAAAAAAAGATATATATCTTTTTTTCTTACGTTTTTGTATGAGTATGTTATAGTAAAACATTAAAATATCTACCTGTAAACAAGTAGCGCACAATATTCGAAAGGAAAAAACTAATTGACCGTACTCTGTATAAGTATGTATTTATGAAAATCGATTCCTAAAAATATCGTTGTTTATATAAATCAAACGCATTTATATTGACGTTACGTCTTTTGCAAGTGTGTTATTGCATTGTTATTGTACGTCTTTAAATGTTGCAGATGCGATCGCTTATACGGCGAGATCGTCAAATATAAAATTATTATTTACAATCTATTTAAGTTTATAATTTATGTGTATATTTGTATATGTATATATATTTTTCACGCGAAATACACTTGAATATTTCATTTCATGAGTTCTTTGAACTCGATGCATTAATTGATGACGAAGGGTCGGAAAATAATCATCAATCACTGTCATCACAACGAGAAAGATAAGAGCAACGAAAAAAAAGGACAATCGAATGGGAAGGAAATGCAATATACGGTTCGTCTCATCCCCGGAGAAATCGGAACAAACGACGAGAAAAGAACGACGCCGCTGTGTTGCAACGCGCTACAACGGCTCCTATCCATCTCTAGACTAGAAAAGAAATGCGCAATTCTAACGAACAGTGCGCCAAAGATTTACAAGGGAAGCTTTTTCCTTCGGAAAAACGCGAAGAACAAAATTGCATCTATCTTTTTTGCACTTTTGCCGCACATATACACGTAGACGACGTATATATGTATATAATATATATATATATATATATATATATATATATATATATATATATATATATATATATATATATATATATATATATTAATCTAGGTCAGCAAGGTGTATGACATTAAAAATCGTGAGCCTTCGTCGACGATGCTGACAGTAAATAATAATTCTGAGAGAATTCGTGTAAAATATTTTGACGAAATAAAATGATCTCTTTTTTAAAACGAGTCGAGTAAAATGTTGCAACGATTAGTTCGATTTCTCGCTGACACATTGCTGACACGGGAATGCGCACCTAACGAGGAAGCAGGATGAGAATGTGCCGTTGGCAAGAAAAGATGGGTTGGCGAGAAAATCAAACCATAAAAACTTCGATGAAGGGATTGCACTCGGTCTGCGGTGGAGGCAGTGCAGCCACTCGTTTCTCTAGCTCTACCCGCGGTAGATACGTTTCGAGACACGTCTCAAGTCCTGTCGATGTAGACGTAGTTGTCGGCAGCGTCGTCGCCCCGGATGCTAATTGTAGACATTCGGCTGGTGCCAACTAAAATCATACGATTTATTTAGAATACTATTGTTGTGAAAGTGATCACCCGTAAAAAAAATAATTAAAGACTTCATAAACTAAAAACTAAAATAAAAAAAAAGGAATCAGCCCCAATATCCTTGATATATAGGATGTTTCATTTTAACTTAGACACTCAAATATCTCTCGAAAAAAACATAAAAAAACAGATTTAAAAAGTTTAAAAAAATTAATTTGCAACATGCAACTGCATGTTTTCTTAAAAGCAACTATGTGTTTTCTTTACACCAATTGATTGGTCTCATTCCATGCATAAAAGTATTAAGAAATAATGACCGAAAACTGAATATATTACAAGATATTTTACATTTTATGTCAAAAAATTGTTAACTTCAAACTTTATAACTTGAAGAGTACTTGATGAAAATATATTTTAATATTAGTAGTGTTTTGGAAAGTTCTCTCTCTTGAGATAAGCTACAAGAATATGCAATAAAAAAATAGGGATTTATAATAAAGAAATTGACCTTCACGTGACCTTCAAATGACCTGTCAAGATTAAATCAATGGTACAATCTTATGTCCCCCTTCAAACAACTTTTGTTGAAAACGTTCCGTATTCTTAATATTATTTGAGATATTAGTGTCTAAATTAAAATGGGACACCCTGTATATTGTCAAGGTCATTATTATTCGGGCTGATTTCGTTTTTCTGAAATTTTATCATATAGATAAAAAACAGTAACAACAAGGATCTTGATAACATCATAAAACTTTAGAAAAGTAAAGCCAGTCTCAATGACCTTGATATATGTCAAGGTCATTGTCCTCCCAAAGAATCTTTGAAAGTATCTTAAAAAAAAATTTGTTATAGTTTGATATATGTTGTCGAGATTACTATATCTTTTTCATGATAAAACTTTAAAAAACTGGACTCAACCCCAATGACAATGATCTTGACGACATATGTCAAGGTCATTAAGACTGCCTTTGCTTTTCTGAAATTTTACCATCATTATATAAAATAAAGAAAAGATAAAATTGCAATTACCAAAGCTGCCTGTTGAGGAATCGGTGCGATACCGCCGACATTTGCGGGAGTGTAATAATTGGTTGGACTAACTGGTGGTGAAGGATAAGGCCAGTAGAAGATAGGTGGCGGATATGGTGTTGCGAATTGCGGCGGAGCGCGGGGCAGCATCGCGGTCGCAGGTGGAAATATTGCTACAGGTGGTGGTGGCAACATCGTGCCTCCTACAGAACAAAGAAAATATGTAAGTATTCAATTCGATGCCAGGTTGATCTGATTAGCCAGTTTGAGGTTAGATTCAACGTGCGAGTAAACGATAAAAAAACAAGCTTATATTTTTAATTTACTATTTCTCGCGGATATTTTTCTCTAATCGCGATTTGCGGACTTATAGGGTACTTTCCAGCAACGCAACACAATTACATATATTATTGTATGACCCAGTGTTACACAAGGTCTGTTCTTTTCAGCTGTACTGGCTGCACTAGTTCAGAATTTATGACCCACATTATGAGCTCACATTTATCTCTAGATGTACTTCTAAAGTTAGAGGGGGCCGTATTATGAGCTCGCATTACTTCTAGATGTATCTTTAAAGTTAGATGAGATGCCTCTAAAATTAGAGGGGTCTATATTATGAGTGTACATCTATCTCTGAATGTGCCATGATAAATGTGAGGGTATTATTAGTGCACATTGTAGCGATAATCATCTAAAAACACCTATTTTGAACCACATTTATGACACTTTTGATAAATGTGCTCTTGGGTACATTTATCTGTGCCTCTAACTTTAGAGGTACATCTAACAATAAGATATAGATGTCAGCTCTAAATGTGCGATAAAAATATGATTCATTTTAGATGTACATTTAATCTGTGTCTCTAACTTTAGAAATACATTTAGAGATAGATACGAGTTCATAATATGAGCCTATGTTTTTTTACTTTACATTGGAAGGAAAGAGATAAACTCTGAGCTAGTGCAACCAGTTTAGCTGAAAAGAACAGACTTATTGTGTCAATTTGTAGCTGAAACACTGCTTAGTTTCTTTACTTCACCGCCAGAGTGCAGGGTAGTTATTTTACATAGTTTTTTCAAAAATTTTGAATTTTTTTTTAAAGTTTATCTCTACCGCGAAACATCACTCCATAGAAAGAAAAATGGTAAAAATAAAAAGCTTTATTGTCCATGGAAGGGCACAAAACGACATAGTCGTACACGTTAGCTGTGTACGATTGTGTCGTAGTTGGAAAATACTGAGTTAGGTGTTACACAGTGTCATCCGTATACATTGCTGAAAAGCATCCATAACCATCTTATTGTGAATCATCAACTATCAATCTTAGTATATTGTTAAAAAAAAAAAAAAAAAGATTTTCTCTTAGTACCCATGATTGTCCGTTATGTATGTACAAACGTAAAGAAGAAAATGCCCACACTATATATTATGTAACCACTCCACAATTACGACGAGTGACATCGTGCAGATCCGCAGAGGTTTTCTAGAAGCACACAAAGCGTTTTTATTATTTAGTACTAGTAATGCGCCTATTGTCGACTATACACAACAACGTTCCCGTACTATAAAAATATAATTAGTGAATAGGTTTTTTAGTGAAAAATAATAACCACTAGAGATTTTTCCTAACTTCGTACGCTGCACGATTTCACTTTTAATTAAGACTGGTCTTGTACGGTTCAAGCAAATATTTTACGGAGAGATAGAGAAAGTACTACAATTAGCTTTAGGTTACTTAGGTAATAGGAAGAGTACAAAACGGTATTTTAAAATATAAAAATAAATTCACTATTAAATATATTGTACGCGATACATATTCAAAGTTAAAATATTTGAATCTCCCTTTGCTTATTCTGCCCAGAACGTACAAAAACGCAGTTATATACAAGGAATAATGACTTGGACTTGGCCTACCTGGAAGCACAGAAGTTAGTATTTGTAGATCCCGCTACCATAACAGAAATTGACACTGCACCATTATAACACGATGTGTGTATGTGTGTGTATGTGTGTGTGCGTATGTACGTATGTATCTATGTATGGATATATGTAATGCAGCACCAACTTGTGATTTCGCCCCACTGCCAAATAATCAGATACACGCAGATTCTCACATTTTCTCTTCTTTTCTCCCTTATTTCTCTCTCTCTCTCCCTCTCTTTCTCTCACTCATTTTTCTCTTTCTCCCTTCCACGTTTGTCTCTTTCTCTCTCTTCTTCCTCTCTTTCGTCAAGCGAAATTAGCTCTTTTACACGCGACATTTTAATAAAAAATACGGCTCATGTATATAGTTTGTTCTCTTTTAACTAGCAGAATATAGCAAAAAAATATTCTTTAAAATTTTTTCGTGTCTTTATCAAATATTTATATATTTAAACATATATTTAGAATTTTTGGAACAAGAAAAAAATAGTGAATTATGAAAAAGATTATGTCAATAAAATTACTTTATAAAAATACCGTGGAATTACAACATACAAAATACAAACGTGGAATTCGTACCGCATCAGGCAATTTTCAGGAATATAGGGAGAAAAACACGATGTGAAGAACAGATATGTTTCGTAGATTAATTATTATTAGTCTTTGCATAAATAGATCTTCGGAATCGATCAGCATAGCAAAAAAAGCAGGCTCGTAGACATTTAAATTTTAATAAATTGAGAACTTAGCATCTCAGAAAGAGCGGTCGTGAACAAATGAGAGGAGAGAGACATTTAGAAAATCTTCCAATTAGAGACAAAAAAAGAAAGCTTCACGTACAAAATGTTAGAGAAATAGAGAGAGAAAGATTGAAAAAAAGGAAGAGAAAAACAAACTATTTTGATACGGTAGAAAGAAAGATTCAACAAAAAAAATAAAGAAAACGATACAAAGAAAAAGAGAAAAAGGGAAAGAGGAAAAAAAAGAAAGGGAGGGGGGAGGAGAGAAACAGTTATAGAAATCTCCATTTTTTTGTGTGTGATCTGTAGATACCAAGATACCTGTGAGCCAATGGAAAAAAAATGTATAGAACATAGTAAAACATGGTGGTTGCAATCTTCGCCGGATTCTCTCTTGTCTACCGAGAACAAGAGCTGTAAATGTAAAAACCATTCAATAATCTCAATTACCATGAAAAACTTCTTCCCAACTCAAATTATTCAAAATACTATGCGTTCCCTAATATTCGCCAGAAAGCACCAAATAATGCGCGTTTTGTAGGGGAACAAAAACAGAATACGCAAAAAGTGCAACCATCTTGGACAAGGTAATATAATCTCAGGGTAAGAGTCCACCAGCCCGGCAAGCAAAAAGATATATATCTCCACAAGGCACATTTATTAAACATGATCGTTTTCATCTGTTTGATATAAAATCATCGATATTACAGAGTGCGTATACAGGAATAAAAAAGAAAGATTATACCGAGAATATGTCATATGTGTAAGTGTATATAAATGCGTATGCATAGATAAATATGTATATGTATTACGTGCGTGTGTTAAGTGTGCTATACTTTTAACGAAAAAAAAAAAAAAAAAAAAGAATTTGGCAAGGAAGACATATTCTGGTTAAAATAATAAATTTATATATGTACATATATAGAGAGTGATTCCGGTATAAGGTGCGATAAACTTGAAAGAATAAGAAATTTCATTAAATTGGATTTAACTTTCGTTAAAGTAATCTATGTTAAGAGCCGCCATTTTGAATATTTATTGTATAATATAAAAAAAAAAAAAATTTAAGAAACATTTTTTATTCTAACTTAATCTAACCTAACAAAAATCAAATAGTATTTTACAAGGCTAAAAGCTGATGTCTCTTTAAGATGTCAATCTATGCGATACCTGTTAAGAGCCGCCATTTTGAATATTTATTATATAATATAAAAAGACATGATTTTTATTCTAAAAAAATTAGATTAATCTAATCTAACAAAAATCAACAAGATTAAAAGTTGATATTTAGACCATAAGGAAGTATTATTGTCGGACAAAAATTTCTTAATAAGAGATGTTTAATTTAAGATCTCCAAACCCCTTTAAATTTGTCACAACTTTTCGGAATTATTCTGTATATATGAGACATCTTATATATAATATAAAAAATATATGTCCCCAGTCAGCAGTCTGTTCGAACAGATTTAAGCAGAACCTACAATCAATTTATGCTGTCAGACAGTGAATAAAATTTCATACAGAAGTTGCTCTATCAAATATGTTGACAAATTAGGTCTTTTTGCTCGACATTGGAAGAAAAAAGACAACCGCTGAACTAGTGCAAGAGTGCAGTCAACACGAACAGACCTATTGTCGCCAGAAATGCAACAAAGCCTGCTGACAGGCACAGACTCTGCGCGATTTCTGCTGCCAATTTGCTCACATTGCCTGTTAACAGATTTTGTCGACAAAACACGAACTTAATGCGGACATAGATGATTATGGTTTGGTATGGAATCTGATCAATTTTGCTGTCAATCTGCAGGCATTCTGCTAACATTTTGCTTACTGGGTCTATATATAAGGTATTTCAAAATCATTAATAATCAATTTTTTGACTTATCTAAATCAATTTTTCCTTAGCGAAAATGTCAATACAAAATATTTCAAGTTATTAGCAAATGTGAAAAAAGCTTTGGAACAGCCAAATAAATAAATAAACTTACATTCTTTAATTAAGTTCAAGTAGAATTTATTTTTATAAAATTTTAATTTGAGATTTATTTACAGATATAAAATGATGGAAAATATTGAAAATTTGCAATAAATGATAATTTTCCGCAATATTTCCTTTAAGAAAAGATCTACTTAAATTTGCAGATATAAAATGATGGAAAATATTGGAAATTTGCAATAAATGATAGTTTTTCGCAACATTTCTTTTAAGAAAAAATCTACTTGAAATTGATCGAGAATGTTATTAAATCAGTGTGTGTGTGTGTGTGTGTGTGTGTGTGTGTGTGTGTGTGTGTGCGTGTGTGTGTGTATGTACATTCGTATGTTGTATTAATTTTCGTTATGCTTAGAATATTTGCACGCGCTCTATATACTTATATTAAGTACTCCGAGATTCATCCTTATGGAATGATGCGGAAATTAATGCATATCGAAATCCCTCATCTTCTGATTTGTTACATCCACTAAATATTCAATATTTGCGTCTACACAAATAATTCGGTTGCACACCACAGTCCGTTTCGCATCGTCTCGCTATGTATGCGTATATTCTGTGTGTGTGTGTGTGTGTGTGTGTGTGTGTGTGTATGATAACAATTAGGTAATGCTATGTAAAATTGAATTGAGTGAATGGCCCCGATATTTTTAAGGATGCACAATCCAATTACATAGTATCCCAGGATGCTAATCAAAATGATAGACAATATATGCATCTTCACTATTATAATGAAGATTTCTTTTTCTTTGTCCGATTACTGATAATTAATAGCGTACTGTATTATTTTTATATTTATTTTTTGGTCCCTTGGAAAATCATAGGTAATAAATGTATTAAATGGTATAGTCATTTTTGAGCAGATTACGTTATCAATAAACAAAAATCGGATTTAGAATGTTTAATATATATATTATAATATAATGGCAGGTACTTTTATGCAACTGCCATGACAAATTTTATATTTACTTCTTATATATTATGTATATATTATCCAATTGTACTCGATCCAATTCTATATATGATATATAGATCGCTCTTAAGTTGATGCATTTATTTATTTATATATTCTATTATATTTTAGGAATATTAATAAAAAAACATGGCAAGAGAAAAAAGTGAAATTGCTAAAACAGTACTTTGCGATCCGTGCGATAAGAATCAAAATTGATTATATAGAAAGGACTTATTATCCATCTTTTTTCTTTCAAAGCGCATTAATTACTTTATACCAATGATGTAAATACGTAAGTTCTCACTTATTGACATGGCAGTGTAAATACATATACAAGGTGTTCATAAAGTCTGTTCACTCAACCTATATTTCGAAAACGGCCATTTCCAAAATAAAAGGAATGGACGGGTGGTCTGAAACATCCTGTATATACAAGGTGTCCCATTTTAAATGCCATAGCCAAATATTTCGAAAAATAGAGAAGACACAGAAAAACGTTTCAGACAAAAGTTGTTTGAAGGAGATAGTATCATTGATATGACCTTGAATAATCATTTCAAAGTCACATAAAGGTCACTTTTAATTTCTTAATGGAAACCCTTATTTTTCAATTCATATTTTTGTAGTTTACCTTGAGCTTTCTAAAACAGTATATAATTAAGTTATTTTTCATTAAGTAATTTTCAAGGTTTGAAGTTTACAGTATTTTAATATAAAATACAAAATATATTTTGTGAAAAATATTCAATTTTCGGTAATTTTATCTTAATAATATTTTGCACGGGATAATAAGACTAATCAATTGATGTAAAAAAAAACACCGAGTTGTTTTAAAAAAAATGTGATTTGAAACATGCAACTGCGTACTTTTTATGTCAAAAATTGTTAACTACAAGTCTTATAACTCAAAAACTTAAGAGAAAAATATTTTATTAAAGTGTTTTTGAAAGCTCTCGAGATAATTACAAGAATATGCAATAACAAATACTAGGTTCTATTTAAGAAATTGAAGACTCACATGATTATCAAAGGTCAAACCAACATATATATATATATATATATCTTATGTCCTCCTCGAAGTCGTAAAACTTTTGTATGTATTTTTTCATATCTTTCATAATACTTGCTGGTATTTAAAATGAGACACCCTGTATATATATACATATAAGATGTTTTATTTTAAATAATATAGTCAAATAATATATTTTGCTGAAATTAGATATAACGAGAAAATATTTTATAAAAAAAAGTTAAAAAGAATAGGAAATTTAGAAAAAAAGTTGATAATTTTGAATTTTAATTAAGGAGATGCTGGAGTGAGTTTGTTGTTTTTCCTGTTTTATCGATAAAATGTGAGGTTAGATAAAGTATAAACAGGTTATTCTTTTTATTGGCAGTTTGTTCATACAAAATAAGACCAGGCTGGATTTGGCATTATATAAAGGAATATAAGTAAACGTTTAGATATCAATTTGGAAGCCTAGTAAACGAGAATAACTCATTCTACATTTTCATGTGTACACAAAAATAGTAAACGAGAATAACCTAGTAAACGAGAATTCATTCTACATTTTTGTGTACACATGAAAATGTAGAATGAGTTATTCTCGTTTACTAGGCTTCCAAATTGATATCTTAACATTTACTCATATTCCTTTATTCAATGTGAAATTCGGTCTGGTCTAATTTCAGGTAAAAAAATAATCCGCATAGCCAATAAATTGATTTATCTAACCTCACATTTTGTCGATAAAACAGGAAAAAACAACAGATTTCTCAAAGGCGTGCAGAATCCCCTTAAGATACTTTTTTTAGGGCCATTTAAAGGTCAATTTAGGTTTTTTTAAATGGAACCACGCTATTTTTTATATCATAATTTCAGAGCAATATTCGACTACATTAATTATATAAAATAAAACATCCTGTATATACATGTATATAGATATCAGCCTTCCACAGGAATAAAAACGGACGATACATTTCCGATAAAATCGATTATATAGTACATCATTCTATCTGTGTGTCTCAGTAATCTCACCAACTACATCATCACAAAAGTATTAAAGGCCGTAAGCCATAGCTATGAAAGAGTAAATACACCGCCGACACCACAATTAAATCACAAGCCGTGTGAGCGTATACAAGAATGGTGTTTAATTCCACTGTCTTCGTATGTTCTCCATTATTATCCGTCATATGTTTTCCAAAACCAATCCGATTATTAATATACATACTAGAAATATACTAAAATATTCGTTATACACGATTGGAATTAGTGGCGTGTAGATAACTTTTGCAAATAATCAGTCAATGTTCCGTTAAATTGACGACGAATTAATAATTAATACATATCACATGATATATAATGACATGTATTAATTAAGTGCAATGAACGCTACATATACGTGCGTGTACATTTTTTCGCCCAAATAGAAAATAAAGCAAAACAAGTTCTGTGTGTGAATAGAAATTATGATTCATATGTGTGTGTGTATATATATATATATATATATATATATATATATAATAAAATTTAGAAATTAATTCACATATATATAATAATATATATAACTTTAAGATGAAATTTCTGTTTCACAAAATCATAGAAAGAAAAAAGAAAGATAGAAATTATAAAATACTGACTTTCGATATTTGTTCGTGATTTAATGAAATTTTATTTACACACACATACACACACAGATTGTATATATAACATACATGCGCGTAATAAATTCTACGTGTATAAAAGAATATATCATACTATTTTAGAATTTTTAAATATGTAATATCGTATGGAATGTTTACTATTAATACACTTAATATTAAAATAAAGGTATTTTTACCAAAATATATATTAATTATTACATACACACAAGCACTCACACAGATACGAAGAATATTTACTGATCCAAGAAAAACCTATGAATTAATATCGTCAGAGAAAAATTTATATTATATAGGTGAATATATATAACACACACATAATATAAATTGAATCTTTGATTGCGATTTATAGGCTTTTTTGAGTTCCTAAATATCTTCCCTCATTCTGTACTTTTTCACTGCAAATGTGCATAAAGATTGATATCAGACATTAAAGTCATAAACATTCGCAATTGTATTATTGAATAACAATTTTTATACATAATAATTATAACGTGTATGATACATTACAATAAAATCTTATATTTTCATTAACAAAACGTTTAAACAACAATCCACAGAATCACGGACTTTAACATCTGATATGACATCAATAGAAGAATATATTTTTACGGTAAAAAAAGTATCTATAATAACAAATTTAAATGTTTCAAAAATCTATTAAATTTTGTTAAAAAATCCAGAAAAATAATTTTGGTATATGATTTTAAAACGCTCTGTATACATATATGTAATATAAAAAAAACATATACGCATGGAGCTCATAAAAGTGGGAGAATTAAGCAATATATTTTTTTATGCTTACGTTACTTTAAATAAGGCACTTTGCGCTCACGTAAACAAACGTGAATTTTCTACGACATGATGTTTTTTAGGCACTTTGTGAACACGAATTCTTCGTGAATTTTAATGGAGCATTCCAAGTAATCACTATTATTGCAAAAAAAACCGATCTTTTTCAGCTTTAACTAAATTTTATTCTTAACATCCCTATACACTAAAACCAAAAAGTTATGGGATGTTATCTTTTACAGTTTAAAAACGGCATCTTGTTCTATTTCAATATGTTAAATATGTATATTTAACATTAAGGCTCCTGAGTCCTCGCCGCGACCATGTTGAATTGTGACGTCGGAGGCAAGAAAGCATACGCTGAAGATTTTTAGATGTTATTTTTAAATGAAAAAATATTTCGATGAAACACTACTTCAGATGGATTTAGCACATTTTTAAAATACCTCGAAAACTATTTTTTTCCCCTATTCCATCAAAATATTTTATTTCAAAATGATATCTAAGAATTTTTAGTATGTTTTCTCTGACGTCACAATTACAATATAGTCGGTGAAGCGCCTCAACAGGAAAGAAAAGTTTGAGACTTTGTATTTATAAATTCCATATAATCCAAAAAGAGTTTTCAGTCGAAATTCGAGCTCAGATTTTCAAAATTTATCATGGCAAATTTATTTTATGCTATATTGTTAAACACATATTTGACATATGTATAAAGATAGAATGAGAGGTGCCATTTTTAAACGGTAAAAGATAATATTTTGTAATTCTTAGATTTTAGTGTAGGGATGCTAAGGATAAAATTTAGCTATTAAAAATAAAAATTCGATTTTTTGTAACAATAAAAGTAGTTCACTTGACATGGAATGCTCCATATATATGTATATGTACACACACACACACACACACACAAAATGTTTACGAAATACTTGGACAAATTTCTAGGACTTATAACCATAAGTAAACATTTAACTCGTAAGAAGTACCAAAAATGGCCGCCATTTGATTGAAAGTAACCATTAGTACAGCAGAGTAAGAATTGTCGAAACATTTCAAAGGTTCTCAAACAGTTTTATATAATGTCGCAAGTATTATTGATAATGTATTGACGTAATATTTCTTTGTTATCAATAGGTTGCAAATACAATAAATGTTTCAAATATAGGTAAAAATTTATCTTTAATCAAATGGCGGCCATTTTGGGCATTTCTTATGAGTAATTATAATTATTTAATAACGTTGTTAATATAAAAACTTTTTTACTATAGCTTCGCAACTACTCATTTTTAGCTATATATAACTTTTTTCTTTATTTTAACATGAGAAATACGTCTTAGAAGATTGTCCAAGTATTTCATAAACACTCTATTATATGTGCATATACATATATATATATATATATATATATATATATATATATATATATATATATATATATATACACACACACATATATATACATATATATATTTATACATGCATATATATATAATTAACATATTTACTGAAATTAAGTTTGCTGTCTATAAATGTATTAAAATATCAAAAGAAGTAAGTCGGAATATTTCGCGGAATCATTTTAAGTACTGTTGTTGTGTATGTAAGTAAATGATCAAATTAGAAAAAAGATTCAAAATTATTAGTATTCTCTATTACCTAGACAAACGTTGTAAATGACGTTTCTGTTTAATTCAAAAATGTATAGCTCAAAATATTATGAAACGGAATGTGTCACGAAGATATAATCGCGAATAATGATAATATTATTTCACTCTCTAAGAGAATATATATATATATATATATAAATCCTTTAAAAAATTACATCATAATAATTGACGATTTCAGCGATGGTAGGTAACGATGAACGTATATAAATATATATACCTTTTCGCGCAAATGGGAAATTCTCGTTCGCACAAAGAGAGAATCAACTACTAACTAACAATAAGAACGTCATCAAACACCGACCAATCGATGAAAAAAGATGATCATTTTGTATCGTTCTCCCTTGCGTGAAATCCTATGGAAGAAATTTAAAAAAAGTAATCCTAACAGCATACATATCCCGAAGACGTTCAGAGAACATCCTGAGGATGTGCGAATATCCTCTGGATATTCTCTGAATATCCTCTGAATATTTTTCGGATGTTGTGCTGATTAGAGGGTAAGCTAGAGATCGAACATACAGCGATGCAGATCGCGGACGCAGAATGCATCAAATCTGAGGATAAAATTGAGCTGGGTAAGGCAAGCCGTGGGGCGTCGCCGGCGTCGGTGCCGGAGCGTGAAACGCTGCCGTCGGGGCGTGCCAGGCCGTGCGTTTCGCGGCGACGCCGCTCGCGGCGGCCGCGTTCGCGGGAAAAGTGGCATCCCACGTACGTTTCAAGCTTATTATCGCGGCCGGATTCAGCGCCGGCGTAGTGGCCATAGCGATAGGCGCCAATAACCCATGCGACGTTGGCGCGCGCAAGATCGGGATACGGGGATGATGATGATGATGATGATGATGATGATGATGATGATGATGAGGATGATGATGATGAGGGGGATGATGAACGTTGAAAAGCAAAAATGGCGCCGCTGCCGCTACCGCCGGGGTAGCCGTCGGCGCGTGGAGCGCCGCCGCAACCGCAGCGGCGGTCGGTGACGTCATTGCGTAGGAAATTTGGGGAACCGCCGGATTCGGGCTCGGCAGAGCTAGGGATTTGCTAGCGGCGGCAGCGGCGGCGGCGGCGGCTGCAGCGGCCGTCGGAGTAGGAGGCGAAGCGGGAGTGTTCGTGGTGGAAGACTGATTCGACGCTAAAGCCATCAACCACAGATCCTGATTCCTAATAGCCTGCGCTTGTGCCTGGACGGCCTGCGCTTGAGCCGCCTGCGCGGCTTGAGCTTGTACCAGAGCGTGAATGGGATCCCATAGGGGTGGTGGCGGCGGTGGCTGCGCGGTCGGTACCGGTACCGGCATCGCCGTCGGCGCAGCTGACGGATGTGTCAAGGTCGCGGAGGATTGTGTGGTCAACGTACCGGGTGATAGTAGGGCCTTGGTCGACGGCGGTGTTACCGCACCTGTCAATACCAAATTCATATCGTCGCCGCTGCACTGGAACACTTCGATGTACCGTTGCTTCTTGCCGTAGATCATATACCGATGATGCCGCTGTGACGCGCACGCGTACGCCGACGCCTCGCTGTCCATCTGGATGAATGCTTCGCCAGATGGTTGACCCTGTAATGTAAAATAATTTGTAAGAAAACATAAATATACAGAATGAGGAAAAGTCTCGAAAGGAGATATATGTAAAAAAAATGTTAAATACAAAAGTAGCAGGATATTCAAAATGGGGCATTTAATGGTGACCTTGATCTTGACATCAAATTTAGGGGTCATTTCAAGATCAACTTAATTTCTTTAAATAATCGAATTTTTGATGTTTTCAGTCGATAATTAAAAGAATAAATAATTTTAAAACGACCAATACTGGCTAATATATATTTAAAAATCGCCACAACGTTTCGATCATGGGTTTTGGTCCTTATCAAGTGTACTACAAAGAATAAAAAAACTAACACTATCAACCTACAAAAAGACACAGATAATTTGAATAATATTTATAACAATATACTAAAGATTGTGTAGTCTTCGACTATTATATTATCACAGTATGACAAGAAGTTTCGTTTGCATAATATGCTCACGGTTTTTAATTTTAAGGTAAAGTTTAACGTTTTGTTTACATATATTTTTACGCATTACTATAAATTTATTGTAATTACTCTATTGTAGTACACTTGATAAGGACCAAAACCCATGGTCAAAACGTGGTAATTATTAAATATTTATTAGCCACCATTGGTTGTAAAAATTATTTATCCTTTCAATTATTGACTGGTAACATCAAAAATATGATTGTTTAAGAAAAAAGATATAGCTACTAGTTGCAATTTATATACTTTTCATAATTTTTCATAATTCATAATCCAATCTTATATTTAAGATCGTCTTAAGTGTGATCTTAAGATGTGCAACCATTTAATTGATTGAATGGGATCTTAAAATGATCCAAGGCCACACATAAAGCGATTTTAAATATAAGAATGGACTATAATAAATACCATCCTTTGTATTTTCTTTATACCAACTGGTTTCTTTGATTATTTTGTGCACAAAAATTATTGTAAGATTATCGCAAAATGAATATTGTACAAGATATACCATATTTTATATTATATGATTATATCAAATTAAAGCATAAAATATTGTATATACTGTTCACATGTTGGCCGTTCTTTCCTCATAATGAATATTGACTTTTAGATTAAATATTACAAAAAATTAATTTATATAAAAAATGTAGAGTAGTTCCATATAAAAAAAACTAGTTTGACCTTTAAAAGAGTTTAAAAAACCGTCATCTAAGGATACTTCTAAGTCATGATATTTGTCTTTGAAACCCTTTACTTTATATGAAATATATTTCCCAAAAATATTTTACTTTCAAGATAATCGACTGTATCGCTTAAAATAAAACACCTTGTATATATCAGAGAGTTTATGAAATATTCAGACTAACTTTTAGGGCATAATATTTCTCATGTCAAAATAAAGAAGTTTATACAGGGCCTTATTTTTAAAATAAGCTTAAATAATTAAGAAATGTTATGTTTTAGAAAAACATATTTCGATTAAAATTATTTAATCTTGAGAGGAGAAACAGTTGATAATCTTAAATTTTAACTATTGAATAATATTGAATATTAATTTATTTTAACTATACAAATATAAATTTGAAGCTCAAGCTATTTTTAAAGTAGAGCCACTATATTTTTTTTTATACAAGGTGAGTCATTTTAATCAACGTAAATATCTCGTATAATAAGCAAGATGGAAAAAAATGTCTCAAACAAAAGTTTTTTAACTATGAGGAGGACATAAGATGATGTCATTGATTTAACTAAACATTTTACAAGATATTTTACATTTTATGCCAAAAAATTGTAAAAACTTTAAACTTTTACAATTTGAAAAGTACTTCATCAAACAACACTTTATTATAGGTTTTTGGAAAGCTCTTTAGATAAGGTATAAGAACATGTAATGAAAAATAGCAGGTTCTATTTAAGAAATTGAAGGTGACCTTTAAATGATTATACAAGGTCAAATCAATAACACCATTTTATGTTCTCCTCATAGTCAAAAAACTTTTGTTCGAAACATTTTTTTCCATCTTGCTTACTATACAAGATATTTACGTGCGTCGATTAAAATGGCTCACCCTGTATATAAATCAATTACATTATTTGACAAAAAATTATAGGATAGAATGTTCAAAAAATGAATAGTTTACGAGATATGTTATACTTTAATTTAACATAAATTCTGAAATATCTTGTAAAATATTCATTTTTCGATCTTGGAGAGACTTTAAAATTTTATGCATAAAATATTGAGAGAAATCAATTAGTATGTAAAGAAAATACATAATTATTTTAATTTCTTATATCACAAGCATTAATAATGCATAATTGATATAGCATTTCTTCGTTATCAATAGGTTGAAAATAGACTAGATCTTTTAAATGTCCCCATAGAAAAAAATCTGACTGTTTTCAATCAAATGAAGCTATTTTAGGCATTTCTTATGAGTTAAGATTTTTACTTATAATTATTTAATAACATTAACACATTTTGTTTTACTATAACTTTACAATCACCTATTTTTTACGAGTATATATAAACTTTTTTTTTATTTTGATGTGAGGAGTACGCTCTAGAAGTTTGTCCAAGTATTTTGTAAATTCTATATATAAGAATAATTCTCTCAAAAAGTAATATCTGTTCAAAATGTAAACATTATATAATGTAATGTATGTACCTGTGCATTGTAAACCATATGAACACCTTGATAGACTATATTTTTAGAATGTTCACCCATAAACTCCAAAATATGCTCTACAAGCGCTTCATAAGGCAAACCACGTAGTCTAACACAATCCTTACGTGTGCCAGATGTAATGATATGTTGCGGAAGCAAAGGTGGAAGTTGTGTGATAGGGGGTGGTGGTAATATCACTTGCTTTGGATCAGTTGCTCTGTTTAGGACCTATGTAATAAATAATTAAAACGTAAATAAAGATTTTACATGTTTCTTGAATCGGTAAGTACTTTTTATTGCACCTACCTGTTGCACTTCTGCAGTTGTACTTCGAAAGAGTTCTATGTACCGACTACCAATGCAGTCTCTATGTTTGCTCAAAGCCTTTACAGCATCCTCTTCTTTTGCAAATAATACGAAAGCATCACCGGTTGCTCTACCATCAGGTTTCTTCACAAACAGCACTCCGTCCTCACCATCTAACACTTGACATGGTTTTTGTCCAGATTGAAAAAATTCCAGCTATAGAAAAATTACCGATATTATGTGCATATAATAGAAAAATGTACATTTAAAAAATTCTCATCCCATATTGAACATTATAAACCATACAAAATTCATAATGCAAATATTAAAAATTTGAATTTATGAAGTAAGTATATACCACTTGTTTAGCAACGCAATCATATGGCAAGCCCCTCATTCTAACGATAACTTGAGCCCCACGTGACAGAAAAGCATGCGCCTCTCCACTTGTACCACCAGCAACGCCAACAAAATCCTCTCCAGAGGCCTTGTAAACCTCTATGTATCGTGCACCCATGTGATGTTTGTGTCGTTTCAGCGCCATATCTCTGTGTTCTTTATTAATAAATCGTACCAATGCCTCGCCGTTACGTCTTCCCATAGGACTTAAACAAAGAGCTACACCACCTCTAAAAAAAAAAAAAAAATAGGTTTACACCATTGTTAGTGTATCGCAGTGATATCATAGTTTCTTTATTATGGATACTTGTTAAAAAATTTGTAAGGTGAATAAAGTACAATAAGTATTACAGACATTTTCTGATTTATTTTAATTTTTAATCTTTAATAAGAAAATGAAGAAAATTTTTTTCAAATTCAACTTGTTATACAGAAGAAATTAGAATAAACTGAATTTGTACATTTTAAGTACAGTACAGAAATACAGTAGTAATTAGTCTCAATTACCTGTTTTACACACATCCATGTAGCTTGTGCATAAAGACCGATAAATACATTATATAGAATAAAATCGATTTGTTTAATCATGAACATTTTGTTAGTTGCATTTGATTCAGTTTCATAAATTGTAAGAGTACTACATGTGTAGATATACTTACTTGGCAACATTTAATCCGCGAAAAAACTTTGCAATATCCTGATCCGAAGATTGCCAAGGAAGCCCACGTGCTCTTACTACGCAGTCATTATCTACCTCTTCATCCTTAGAGCTAAACATAAATTTGTATATCATTATTATATAGATCGAATAATTGAAAAATAAAAACGTACAAAATAGAATTGTCAAACTTACCATATGCCAGGTTCTAAGACAATGTTAACTACTTCTGGATTCTTAAAAATGTGACCTGAAAATATATATACATACATATTTATTAATTAATAAATAAATGATTAATTAATTAATAATTATAGACATATTACATTATATACGTAGATCTAACTATATAAAATTATGAACACATTAAATAAATAAAAATACTAATTGACATTATGCACTTATTAAAAGAAATTGAGGATATACATATGTTTGCAAAGATATGTCCTGCAAATATATTACACTTTCTAAAATTTAATTTATATTTTTTTACAATAAAACAAGTGTATTTAGAATTTGTAGAAAAGAAACAAAATTATAACAAAAAAAAAATATATATATAGAAGAATCGAAAAGATCGATTTAACCTTAGAAATCGATAAACGTTATATATCTCCAGTAACAATTATCATTTATTTTAACGATCGATTCAAAAGTAATTTGATAATACAAATTTTCGAGTAATTTCTCTTCCGTAGCTGCACTTTTATTTGAATCATTAATTAGAAACAAAACTATGAAATATGTTGAGCAAAAACACGTATGTATGTATGTACAACTGTAGGTATACGAAACATCATATATCGAGTGGGACAAAATATGTGGACCTGTAGATTTATGGATTCTGGTTACTTCACTAGCAGGGTTGGGTGAGTTAATGATTTTTTAAAACTAAGTTAAGTTAGTTAGTTATTTTATAAAATTAATTTAGTTTAAGGGGTAATGCCACTTTAGCCCCCGAAAAAACAGCCTTCTTCTTCTTATTCTTTTTATGGCAATGAAACGCACAGTTTTTGTTCGTGGTTTCAGGCTGCCAGATTATCTTCAGTATAGTTTTGAGCTTGATAGTGTGTATACATATACAACGGACCGGGAGAAAAAAAATTTTTTTTTAACGAAACACGTCTGAACACGTCGGCCTACCGATACCGACACCAACTCGAAAAAAAACAGTCTAATTTTGACAATTTTTTTATAGGAATATAGTGAATAGAATATAAAATTTGTTTAGAAGTTCTTACCCAGAAATGATCGAAAAGACGTCGAATCGATATTGATTCGACCAATTCGATATCGATTCGCCATCGATTCGACGTCGATTCAACGTCGATTTAACTATCATTTCCGGCTGGGTATTGTACATATTTTGAAGTGTGTTTGCAAATTTTTTTTCAATTTTTTTATATAAAATGGCGGCGCGAGAATTCAGCAAAAGTTTGTTTGTTAATTTTTTTAAAATTTATAATAACAAAGGAATATTTTGATTTTTATATAGAAATATATTTTTTGATAATTAAGTACAATTGATGACAAATAAATATATATATATATATATAATTAATAATACTTTAATTTAAAAATAATACGTTTATAACTTAAAAAAAGGTATTCAGAGATAAAAAATTTAATTTAAGAAAAAAGTTAGTAAGTTATTTAAGGTAAAATATAACTAGTTAAAGTTAAAAATTAATACATTTTAAATTAACTAAGCTAAGTTAAAAGTTATTTTTTTTTAACTTTTAACTAGTTAATCATAGTTATTACCCAATCCTGTTCAAGAGCATATCTCATCGAAAATGAGCAAAAAAATTAATCTAAATTTACAGGGTGTTTATATAATACGTGATCAAACTTCTGAGCGTATTTCTTTTATGTTGAAATAAAGAAAAAAGGTTATTTATATTCATAGTAAAATTGAGTGATTGCGAGCAGGTTATAGTAAAATAAAGTTTATATTATATTAAAAATATTTTGTTATGAATTAAATGCTTTTATACTTATGATTATTTAATAATAACATAAACTTTGTTTTACTATAATTTTGCAGCAATTCATTTTTGATTATGAATATATATATGTACATAATACATATAAACTTTTTTCACACACCTTAGAAGCTTGTCTAAGTAGTTCTATACACCTTGTATATTCAAAAAATAATTCAAAATTTATATTCAAAAATGCGTTTAAAACATAAACGAATAATTGAACATCGTTTTGAAATTAGAATAGAATCAAGTTCAATATATGTATATGTATGTATATAATACAGTGTGTCACATAGGAAATTGCTGAAACTATAATCAGTTGTCACTTTTTAATATGCGTCCAGTTATTGAGAAAACCAAAATTATGTTAGAAAGAGGAAAATCTACAGTTTTTAATGGATATAAATAAAATGTTTGTATATATACCAGTTTATTTTATTGATATAAAATTTTGTACAAATTCAAATAATGAGCATTTCGAAAATATTTATCATTAGTTTACATATGACTATTAACACTTTTTACTTTTTTTTTAATAAAATTAGTATACAAACATTTTATTTATATCCATTAAAAGCTGCAGACTTTCCTTTATTTGTTTTCGCAACACAATTTTTGTTTGCTCAATTATTGCATGCATTAAAAAATGACAGCTGATTATATAGTTTCAGCAATTTCCTATGGGACACCCTGTATATACTTCAAAATCCGAGTCGGATCCAAATAATCAAAAAATAGTATTATATTATATTCGAATTTTAATATTTGAATACCTGCAAGGTAAGAATAAATAATATTTATAAAATAATAATAATATTTAAATACTTTCGTAAAAAAATCGAAGCTGTTACGAGTAATACACTCAAAGTCTAAGATAAAAAAAATCTATTTATGGTACTTAATTGTTATACACATCCACATATACGCATATTACATTTCTCACATTTACATATGTATGTATACTCACTCATTTACTTATCTCCACCACCTTTTTCTAAGTACTTATAAAAATTGGAATATGTTCTTGATACAGATTTGAATGTATAGTATTTAAAAGATATACTTTTATAGAGGGTTCGAATCTATCTCGTCCAAGTTTAAGTTCTGCTTGAAGGCTCTTTTTTTCAAAATAATCATAGAAAGTTCAAAATCATATGTAAACAGATTCGAATTTGTTTGTAAGATATTATACTTATTAATCTCATCATAAGATTTGTTTTTTTTCTTTTGAAATAGAACAAATTATTTAATTTCTACTGTTTTGTTGGAAATAAAATAATATGCTTTATAATTATCTGAAGTTTCAACCTAAATATGTTTATATGCACTTTTTGCTCTTTTCGATAAATAAAATACGCTTTCAATAGCGCCACACATTTTTGTTAAATCTCGTAGAAATACACAGTATGTATGTACACATATGATTGGATCATAGAACACCAGTCCATTAACAAAAATTTTTTAACTCATACTATTTATCTATTTTTGCACTTTTTTTCCTTATACGCCATCTAACGATTAAACATACATAATAGTTATACAGTTTATATAAAATGCAAAAAAAAAATTTTTTAATTTCAAAATTTTCAAATATTCACTTATTAAAATCACTTATTAAGATGATTATTTTGCAAATAGCAATTAACAAGAAAAAACAATAAAAATAATTTAAAGAATCAAAAATAATAAAAGGATTTCGATTTTGACGATTATTTGACGTAGAGCAGCGATTGGAGAACATAAGCGACAACTTTATAGTGTAAATAGTATATTATATATTTTCATTACCAGTAAAAAATGAAGGCAGGCTTAGAATATAAAATTTTGAATTGTATTATCGCAAGATGATTAAAAACTCAAGAATGAGTACAGGTCATAATTTATTGCACAAATACTTGCAAAAAGTATTGAAATCACTTCGTACACAATAAAGAATCGGACTGCATTACAGAAACGTCAGTCTGCGATAATGTCTTCTGAACTTATGCGCTTATTACGTTTCTCCTGCGTAACTCTATATATCCGTTAGTTTGTGTCTCGGCTTTCTCATACCTGCACGAAATGATTATTCGAATCGCAGACTCGGCAAAAATTTGTGCACCGCCGACAAGTAAAAAATTCATTTTGAGGAATGCACGCGGAGTCAATCGACATTTCTTCATTCATATAAGTAACCTTTGTATCTTTTTCTCTTTGTATTTTTTAAAATGTAACCAATGAAAAAAAAAAAAAAAAAATTATACAGGATGTCCCATTTTAATCGATTACCCTCAAAAACTTTTTGATTGTACAACAAAATGTTTCAAATAAAAGTTATTTGATTTAAAGACGGACTGAAGATTATGCTACTGATATTTTTCTAAATGGAGCTTTTCAAAATCATTTGAAGGTTATTTGTGTCATTTTTTAAATGGTTATGTATGTATAAAATATTTTTGTATCTTTCTGTCTTTATATTATAAATCATAATAATTATAATTATAATAAAAGGATACAAAATCTTTAAAGAAACAATTTACAAAAATAAAGGACAGAATAAATATTATTTATCGGATGTTATTAAAGAGATATTTTGCGTGTTATAATATTTATCTATAAAAAACAAATGTCCAAAATTTTTTAATATTTTTGAATATTTTAAATTGAAAATTAAAATATGTTTTAGAAATATTTCCTCAAGTTGTTACATAATAAATTATACACAAAATTTTATAAACAAAATTATTATAAAAATTAAAAATTTTTTCTCCGACTATACATAAGCTTTTACCTAGAAGAAAAAAGGGGGAGGAGGGAGAGAGAGAGAGAGAGAGAGAGAGAGAGAGAGAGAGATTTTAAATAGAATAGTTTGGTTGTTTAAATTACTATTACATGTATAATATTTTATCAATATAATAAATTAAAAAATATGCGATGTTAAGCGTAATCCGTTTGTTTTTTTTTTTCACATACATATCACGCAGCTTAGTTCATATTTTCAATATTAGTCAATGACGTAATTTTCAATAGGTTGAGTGTTACTGTGATAAGGAAGTTGTCATACACCAGCACTACTACTGTACAAAACAATTTGACCTGCACTCTTACTCGGGTGCAATTAGAGGAGAAACTACATATATATGTATATTAAAGTGCATGGTGCAGTAATTAAAAATGTCATTGTTTTGGAAAATATAATTTCAATTGTTAAATCGTCTAGAAAAAATTTAGAAAAAAATTCAACTTTTACGTATCAAATAGAAGTAATATATTTGTTTTTTGAAGAAAATATATTCTGACGATGTATTATTTTTTCTCTGCATAATCGAAAAATTTTTCAAGTGAGATAATTCCTTGATTGAAGAACGGTTTTTAATTATATACCAACGCAATTTTCAAGGGCATCATCAATGTGTAAACATACTGCATATATTATTTGGAGAAATGCATACACAATGTTACATTATGTATACATATGCGAGCACGTAACTCATGCGAAGCTTCTTATCTTATAAATGTCAAGTTATAAGAAAAAAAAAAAGAAAAAGAAGAGATAGAGTTCTCCCGAGAAAACAAATGTTTTAAGGTTAAGATAATATAAGATTTCCCTCTTTATATAATTTTGTGAAAATTGATAAATTCATACTCTTCTCTCTCCTCCTTTCTCTTATTTTGCAAGATTAGAATTAGATTGAACTAAATTGATTGATTTTTATTTGTTTTTCTTCCTAGAAAACTTTTTTAAAAAAATGGAGATATATTTTGAAGGCATTTTCTACGACATTGATATGTGAAACAATGCAGTATTCAGTGTTGTGCTTAGATGATTTTAAAATTAGAAAAATAAAAATGAGATAAAAATATGTAAATTCATCTTAGATAAGATAAAAATGATTTTGTTTTAAATCTAGATAAAAGATAAAATTATGTGATGATTTATCTAAATATTTTTAAGACCGTTTATCTAAACACAATTATAAAAATAAATATAAATTATAAAAAGATATAAAAATATATTCATTTTTTTATTTATAAGTTTTTATCGCTTACTACTTAAGTTCTAATACTTAAGTATTTTTATGTGCTAAAGCCCTAAACCAAATTATCTAAACGTTATTCTAGGTAATTTAGTAAAGATAAGACTTTTTATCTAAGATGCAGATAATATATATTAATATTAATTAACTATATAAAGATAAGATGACGTTAAAACTTCATTTACATAATCATCTATATAATTTTATTTAGATAACAACAAACACTATGGCAGTATTCGATGTATAACTAAATACTTATTAGTTTACCATTAAAAAAATAAAAATAAAAAATAGCTTACCATCTTTGATCATTCTCTGTATCACGTTCACCATATCCTGTATCTCTTTAACATGAAAATCATTGTCGGTATCAGGCGGCAGTCCGAAATCTGATTTTCAACAGTTAAGGAGAAATCTGTTCGAGTACGATAAAAAAATCGATTTTTGATATCGTATAACGCTGACGCGTATTATTCATCCATATTTTCAAGAAGTCTTTTGGAGCAGGAATTGTAAAGGTATGAGTTCTTACGACCTTTGTGCTTCATGCATAAGCTGACTCAAATTTATCGGAAACAGGAATCATGCGAAACGTTTACAGAGAGAATTTTACACTTTCTTTTATCAAAGTTTATTTTATCAACGTTAATAATATTGAAATTATAAATGTGCAATAGAGAGCAAGTACGACAAAAGAGAAATGTAAACAGCTTCCCGGGATATAAAAACGTAAAAAAACTTGTATTTCTTTAAAAAATAGTAAAAGAGAATATATAAAAGATGTAAAGATGTGCAATCCGGGAAAAATAATAAATGTTTCAAAACAATTTGAAAATATAAAACATGAAAAATAATAATTTATATAATCAACTTTGTATCTTGCACATGTTTCTTTTTCATATAAACTTCTTGATTATAAATGACATCGGTGTCACTTTGCATGTGACCCTAGCATGTGACCTAAATTATAAAGATTTTACATAACGATGAGATAGAAGAGTATATTAGTAATAGTATATATATATGATATAAAAAAAACAATTTTATGTGTACGTATATGTTTTTTATATATGAGCAAATAACATTCAAAACTTTAATCACATGTTAAACGAGCGGAAGAAATAGTGAATTTTGTTATATGATTTGATAAACAGTGTTACAACAACATGATAGAGATCGCAAACAAAAATAAGGAGAAAGAGGAGAGCGTTACTATGTACAATACCCTATATTTAACTATTAATGTGTGTGGATGTGAATACTATTATAATATCCAGATAATACGAATCATACAGATTAGTAACGAGTACCTAATCGAAAACTGAAACCACTAAGGAAATCGGAGAAACTGTGTGTGCATTTTACATATACACACACATATGTACACATGACGTTCATCACTAGCTTAATATCTTCGCTACAAGGCTGACCTTTAAACCATGTCTCGATAAGAGACCGCATCGTTTCAGTCAGAGCTTTCTGAAGTCATCTGGTCGTTATTGTAACAAAAATACATTTTCATTTTTCCCTTCCCACAATGTTTTTCCTCATTTGCAAAAAAGTATATCCAAAAATGTATTCTGTCGAAGGTGCAAGAAAAGAAAAATCGTGAAAGCAAAACTTATAGTCCAACATTAAATTGGAAATTGAGAAGAAATGACTTTTTTTTCGAGATAGAAGAAAATAAAAGAACGTCAGTAATTTTGTTAAAGTATAATATCATGGGGTTAAATAGATAACTCAAAATAAATATATACTCGTATCACTACTATGATAATATTAACAGTTTCTAATTTTTAACGGAGTATTTAAAAAATTTATAAATAATAATCCTAATTCTTTACAAATTGTTGCTTTAAAATAGATTAAAAAATTTTTTAAATATGCAAATATTTCATATTATCATCGCATGTGGTTCGACTAATCTGGACGCATTAAACAGGTGAGCGATGATGATGTGTCGATCGGTATGCATATGTGTATATTTGTACACATATTAATTAGATCCGGCGCAAGTGGTCACATTTTATTACCACCAAGTGGATATATATATATATATATATATATATATATATATACAGGGTGTTCGGTATATATATATATATATATATATATATATATATATATACAGGGTGTTCGGTGACTCGCGTTTAACGTTAATGAGAGATTTCTGAAGCGATTTAGAGACGATTTTTCCTCAGCAAAAATGTCCAGGCACCAATAATTTTTTATTTATAAATGATTGAAAATAAAAGCTTTTTTGTAAACTAAGCTTTGTAAAAATAAATTATTAACAAAACTACATTTTTTAGTTAATTTCAGATAAAGTTTACTGTAATAGAATTTTAATTTAAGGCTTAATTACATAGATACATAATTTCAAAAATTGGGAATATTAAAAAAATGATGACCTTTCTCATTATTTTCACTAAGGAAAAATCGTCTCCAAATCGCCTCAGGAATCTCTCATTAACGTGTAAAACGTGAGTCACCGGACACCCGGTATATATATATATATATATATATATATATATATATATATGTGTGTGTGTATATATATATATACACAACAAAATATAGAATATGAAAACAAATTCACGATTTAAATCACCACTATAAATAAAAATACTCGATATTTCATCAGCAAAATCCATTTATGCGTAAAAAAGAGTGAGACAAATCGAGAAAGAAAATAATTTTGGAACGTATGTGTATGAGGAATTTTTTTAAAACATTAAAAATAAATTTTGTCCCTAAAGTCTATCTGACTAAATAAAATGTAAGAAAGCGATAGCGCGATTCTTATCGAGAATCAGAGTATCACCTTTATAAGTAAATACAAAATTAAAGGTCGATTAATTTAATTACAATATTATTTAACAGATCAGAAGATTAAAAACAAGCTGTTTATATATCAAGATCAAACGATAGATAACAAAATCTTATTTTTCGAATGAATTTAACGACCAGATATTTGAACCTTCTAAACACATAAAAATTCCAGAAACAGATTACAAAAAACAGTAACATACCTATTTACGATCTTAATTCCAAACATCATTTAAATGCACGAATCCAAAATAATTCCGCTACAAAGATTTGATCCCAATTTCTTCGCTTCGTATTTAATTTGCGAAAAGAAGTCGGAGAATTCGTCACAATCGTATTCGCTTCACGGAGCGCAGCAACGATATGTCCATTCGTATTTTATACTACCGCAAAGCTTACTGACTCCGGTTATAAGATGACGATCGGGACGTCTCGATCGGACGACGCGCCATCTAATGGCAATATAACGCGAAGGTCTATCATCGATGTAGAAATTCACAAATGGTGCAACAAAAATATGTTTTATTTGCGTCACAGTTGCTAATGTGTATTACGCAAATCAAGAGTTAGACCGCAAGCTGTAAAATGCTACCGCGCGGTGAACACTTAATTGTTATCAATATCGACAAAGATGGCATGAACTAGTATTAGCATACAGTATTATGCGAAATTTCATAACTAACATAGCGCGCCATTCGAATCAATTCCAGTAAGCAATATGTTATCAAAAGAAATTCATTAAGTATTCAAGTTTAAGAATCGGATTTCCGAAAACATCATCAAAATGATAATATTATATATCTCGATGTTTTCACTATATCTTTCGATTGAATTTGAAGAAAAGATATATGTACTTATTATTAGCAAAATGTTACCGCGTCTCCTGATGATATCAATAAGTTCTTTAACGCGTCGATTTTAGAGGAAAGGAAGACATCACATAAATGACATCTAAAAGAATTCCACAATCTGACTTATCGTTTTACCATATCTTACCGTTAAGAATTGCTATTTTGTAGTATTATATTTTTACATATTTTTATAGTTGGGTTGTGTCTGCAAGAAGCACACATCGCAATCAGAGTTGGGAAGTAACGCATTACTTGTGACGCCGTTACCGTTACAGTTACTTTTTTCGGTAACGATTTGGTAACGCCGTTACTTTTTTCTATTTGTATAACGAAAAAGTAACGACGTTACATTTTCTATCGTAACAAGTAACGAAATTGATTCGCGTTACTTTTATCATTACTTTTTAATATATTTCTATAGCTATTCATACATATTTAGATCTTAATATAAGATCGGATTTATGATGAATATCTCTATGAGAAACAGTGCATGACATATATATTTGACATTAAGTAGAATTCATACTGGCAGATAAAATATAAAAAAAAAAGATTTAAAAATTAAAATTTTTATACGCATTTTATGTTCACCTTATATTACTTAACACTAAGAAAAAAGTAACGGAAAGTAACGATTTTTTAATCGTTATTTTTAAGTAATGGTAACGAGTTACTTTTTAAAAGTAATTAAATTTCCCAACCCTGATTGCAATCATACAAATTCTTTTTTATTATAAAGTTTGTAGACATCCTAAATATCTATCTAATCCTGAGGATGTTAAAAAACCAGGTTTTAAAATGCCCATAGATTGAATAAAAAAAATATGATTGTAACGTGGTTTTTGCAGACATAACCAAACTTCTTTGGTTAAATATCGATATATAAAAATATAATCTCTACTTTATGCTTAAATACATATTTAATAATAATTATAATTTAAGAAAAAAAGATTACTTTAAAAACATTAATATCAAAGAACGTAAATGCTAGATCTCTATACCAAAATAAAATTAATATAGGGTTGCAAGGGGTAATATAATGTCAAAAATATTATCTGTTTTATAAATCGAAAACGGAACAAAAGGGTTTAGAAATGTTTGTCAAGTATGTAGAAAAAGAATATATAAAGTAGAAAAACATACGCGAAGTCAGAGGTTAGTAATTGTGATAATAAATTGTGCACATAATAAATTTAAAAGGATACATTGCAACATCTCTTGTACTCCAAGGGTCGATAATTCTCCGTAAGACGAATAGCACTCTACAAAATCCTTTCGCAAATCGTGGAAGTAATTGTAATGTTCCGGTAGCTCGATATCTTTGTTGCAGGCCTCCGGATGTAGACATTGCCTCATCGGTGCTTGACCATCTACGATGAATCGCGGCTTAGCACCGAACGTGACACCGGACATAGAACTCCACCATGCTTCAAACTTGAAATAAAAATATCGCGCGATAGTATTAGATTGTTGCAAATAAAATGGCCGTTTTTAAATTGAAACTTGTATTTGGCAACAACTTATTATTATAATATATGTAATTAATTAATCGAAGTAGCCTCCATTTACTTAACATATTTCTTCCAATGATATAGCGCATTTAATATATGTTTTCGAAAGAAATCGGAGAATGAGATAATTTTATCGAATGCAGTTTTTAGATTTTTTCTCGAAATACTTTTCTAGTCAAAAAGCTATTTAGATATCTGAAGAAATGATAGTAAATGGGCAAAAGGTCAAAAGAAAAGGAGAATTTCGCACTTTAATTTTATTATTTTTTGACGACCTGTTATGATTGCGCATTATCATGAAATAATTAATACACCGATCTATTAAAATGTGTTTATTAAAGATAAAATCAGAAACAAAAGTATCAATGCTATTCTTCAGCGTTGACACAATCGAATGCTCAGTAATCCGGAGAAAAATTTTCAAAAAATTATTATTTTTTTCTAAACGGTTTAATAAATATTAATATAATTTTGCAATATTGCCCCATAAAGTTCCACTTATACATGTAAAAAATTTGAAATTATACATATTTTTTTATACAATTAATATTATAATAACTTAATCGTAATACGTAAACACTTTTAATAAAATTATATGTAAAACTAATAAAATTTAAATTGCAATAACTTTTAAATTAGTTAGTAAATTGAACTCAAATTTTAGCAGTAGCTTTTAGTACGATATTTCTTGTGTACCATCATACACTGGACCGAAACTAATATAGCTCGATCACTCACAATATCTTTGCCGAAAACAGTATTTATGTTCAATTTTACTATAACCGAGATAAATTTGTATAAGTTATACGAATTTCTTTATGTTAAAAATAAATTTGTTTTCACTTTTATCATACGAAACAAGTAAAGTTTTGCGCCTGCATGCATGTGCATTTTTTACATAGTATATACATACAACGATCGTCATCTATATGGAACAAGTTAAACTACAAAGGCGGGAAGTTTGAATTGAAAAACGGTCATTTTATTTGCAACTTAATATATATATGTTTGTTATTTTATCATTAGTATATTAATTCCTAAATATTATCAATATATGTGTAAAAAGTAATCGTCAATATTATTATCGTGATAAATAAAGAAAGTAGCATTTTATTATATAATTTACAATTTAAGAATGTATGAGACATACAAATATTGCAAAAAGTGCAAAAATTTCATAAATTATTAATGTTTTCTGAATATCTTCAAAATTTAAATACAATTTTCAATCTCGATTTATTTAATTTTAATGTTTACATTGATTCTTAAAATAAAAATAATTTGATACATAATACAATAGTTATTAATAATAATATAATGCAGAAAAATATTAAATGATGGTTCCAGTTTTTTTACATATTAATAAAAATCTTTTTTTAATGGTATATTATATGTCTACTGTCTATTATATGTATCATACGTCTCATATGCCTTTAAAGATTAAGTGTTTAAAGTGTTTACCAAATCTTTTGCGATTTTGTATATCAATTTTTTATATAATTAAAATAACAATTAATTGTATTAATAATATTTTATAGTTTTCATTACAAAAGCGAATGTTTTTTATAAATACTCGCTTTTTAAAAGTATAGAGAGACAAGTAGAGAGATTCGTAAAACAAATTTAAATCTTTCTCTTTTTTTAATAAATAAACAAATAAATGTAATATAATAAATAATAACAAAATAATTAATAATTAATAAATAATAAACAATAAAATAAATAATAAATAACAATAAATACAACTAAGGAAGGCTTTAAGAGCCATACACGGATGTTCCTGCGTATATTCCACCGAAAATAAGATTTTTCGATGGAAATAAACAAATGTGCACAAGGCATCTATTATTCTTGGTGTACTACCAAGACTTGATGATAAGAAATAATCTCTTACTTGAGATTTAATTTCTTTAAACCCCTCTAATTCCCCTAAAGAAATAAATAAATATATATGCGAGAGAAATAACAAAATAATAAATAACAGGGATAATAAATAACAAAATAATAATAAATAATAAATAATAATATATTTTATTAACTTTCTTTTAATAAGTTTGTAAAAAAAATTTGTCTTAACTATAATAAATCTCAAATCCAAATCTTATTTTTCTGTTAACGTGTCGATGTAATAAGTACCTTTTCAATAGCTTGCTGCAGAGGTATTCCATATTCTCGAAGATTTCGTTCAGTCAAGGTTGGAGCATGCGCCAGCGCTGCCTCGTCAATAATACCGCTACTTCCGGCAATTGCCGGGTTGTCACTACCGGTTCCAGAAGTACATCTTTCCTCCATTATCATCGGTCGTACGATATACTGCTGCCTACCTAGTACCTACAAAAACAAGTCCACCGTGAGAGGAGATGCCCGAGCAAAAACTTGGCGAGCTGTTGCTATGCGATGAGAGACGTATCAATTATTTTTTTTACATGCAGAAAGCTGTGACTTATTTTATTTGATATCGAGTCGAAAGGCTACATGAATTTAAAGTGCGAGCACTTTTACTTATTAAAATAAATTGCGTAAAATATGTTATAAGTAAACATTTCAAAGAGTTTGTTCGCATTTGAAGCTTTTCACTTTTAATAATAAAAGTATGTTTATATTAAAAGTTTATATTAACAATATAAACAAAAAATATATACAGAGGGCAGACAAAATAATGTAAACACCTGTGAAACAAAGTATTTATATATGTTTATTAATAAGATATTGGGCCACCATTTGCCTTTTTTCCAGTGGAATGTTGTCTCATTCTTCTATCTGCTAATTGCTTTAGAGATATTGAAGGAGGAAATCTGCTTCTCATTCTTTTTCAAAATTACTTACAGTTCGATGATATTAAGTTATTAAGATATTTAAATATTTTCCCTGGCCAGCACAATTACCTTTAAATATCATCGAACCACTATGGGAGTGAAAAAGTTTTTCACTCTTCTCTTCAAAACTGCCCATCTCTAAAGCAGTTGGCAGATAGAAGAATGAGATAACATTCCACTTGAAAAAAGGCAAATAGTGGTCCTCAGGAATTTCCCATTAACGTGTAAAACGCGAGTCACCGGATACCCGGTACATTAATGTATTTTATATTACACTACTAAGAAACTAGTACTAAATGTATTATAAAAATATATAAATAATATATAGATTATACTATAGTGGTTTTTTTTATTATTACGAAACACATTAATATATACAACTACTATAATAATACGATTTTTTTCATTTGTCTGATATTTACATTTGTAATAAAAACGGAAATTTATTATATTTTGGCGAACATGAGATGTTTTTTTTAGTTTGAACTTTTATTGTATCAGTAGATGTTCTTGTGCTTATATCTTTTACTAAATATTTTCCTCATAATTTTATATGAATAAAATTTTACCTTATAAAAAATGATATATATTTATTTTCTATTAAAAATACACACACACACACACACACACACACACACACACACACACACGTGTGTTCAAACTAAAAAAAAAACATCTCATGTTCGCCAAAAATATAATAAATTTCCGTTTTTATTACAAATGTAAATATCAGACAAATGAAAAAAATCGTATTATTATAGTAGTTGTATATATTAATGTGTTTCGTAATAATAAAAAAAACCACTATAGTATAATCTATATATTATTTATATATTTTTATAATACATTTAGTACTAGTTTCTTAGTAGTGTAATATAAAATACATTAATGTACCGGGTGTCCGGTGACTCGCGTTTTACACGTTAATGGGAAATTCCTGAGGACCACTATTTGCCTTTTTTCAAGTGGAATGTTATCTCATTCTTCTATCTGCCAACTGCTTTAGAGATGGGCAGTTTTGGAGAGAAGAGTGAAAAACTTTTTCACTCCCATAGTGGTTCGATGATATTTAAAGGTAATTGTATATTTAAAGGTATATATATATATATATATATATATATATGTGTGTGTGTGTGTGTGTCTCGCCTATTTCTTTACAGGGGAAGTTAGGAGAAGGAACAAAGAGGAATTTCTGAGATCCCAACCACAGGATACAAATTCCTTAGTTTCCAAATTTCTTTCTTTCTTAATTGTCGCAATAACATCGCGTGTGGCTCTATTGGCTGAGAGGAATGGAGTATAGATCATATATATATATATATATATATATTTATATATATTTCTATCTTTTTATTATATTTATTATTATATGTATATTAAGGATACTGAATAAATATATAATTCTTTACATTGAAACTGTAAACTTGAACAATCAGATAGAGAGATTAACAATACATTATTAAGTCACAAGCCTTGAACTTTGAATTTAAATGGCTTCAATTTGAATGTATTTTCCGTGCATTGATAATGTATCGCGATTAATAGTATTATAAGGCCTATACGCGCCTGCGTAATGAAACCAGTACATTTCCACGAGCTGTAGTATTGCATATTAAAAGGGGCAATTATAAAAATACATAGGGGTATACATATATGTATATACTTGCACTTAAAAATTTAGAGTAATTATTGATTTTCGAGGAATAGATTATATAACCGATTTATTTTATTAATCTAAAATCAAAAGTTTCTTTTGGCCAAAATTTATTATTTCTGAATTTTATTTTAGATATACCATTTTGTGATATGCTCTATTATCAAATGATTATAAAATGTTATCATTTATTATTCTTTCTTATCATTTATCGGTAAATATAATCGCTTACAAAATAATTGCATACTCAAAGTTAACATTATTGTATAATATAATAATGTGATAAATATTTTTATATTTTGCTATATTAAATTTTTTTATGATTAACATAGAAATAATAAGTTTAAGACCAAAGAATATATAAAAATATATAAGAATATATAAAAAAAATCCACAGAGTTATTTGAAAGTCAATTTTATTTTTTTAAATGGAATTACTATAATTTTTATGTAAATTGATTCCTTGTAATATTTGGCTTAAAAAAGGATAAAATAACCAAAAATGAATAGCTTATGAGATATTTTGTATCTTAATGTGATAATTTTACATAAAGTATAAAATATCTCGTAAAATATTCATTTTTGATGATTTTATCTCAATACTTATGCATAAAATAATGAGAATTCAATTAGTGTAAAGTTGTTTTTAAGAAAAAAATGTAATTTGCAACTAGCAACTACATATTTTACAGTTTACATATATTAAATATAATTAAATTTGACCTCGAAATAACCTTCTAGATTTCGACCAAAAGTCAAATAAAAAAGTTGCCATCAAATGACTCCCTCATACTAAATAATTTTTACTTGAAACATTTTTTAAGATAACGCAAAGTGAGATATGTATCTACTATGTGAATTTTTTAAAATGGGACAGCCTGTATACAATATAATAATTATATGTATGTATATCTGTTTTGCTAAGATATGTATATATTACAAATCTATTCAAGACATTCTAAAAATATATTTATTCTACTTATTCTAGAAGATATACTTTCGATATATGTTTAGTAAAACTCGAATATAATAGTATTCCTAATACATATTTATGTAATTAATAAAAAAATTTTATTTAATATATTTAATAATAAATTGATATCACACATCCGCAGTACGTGTATATATATATATATATATATATATACTAGAAATATTGGGAATATATATATATATATATATATCCCAATATTTCTAGAATATACACACTATACTTTTATGATATTTTTATATCATTTTCAGAATTTACATGTAATGTATAAAAGAAAAAAATTATTATTTAAATTAATTCTAATCAAATTTGTCATATTTGTTTGCGCTTCTTTCTAAAATATTTTATTTTCTTAGATATCATGTATCGAACTATGTATCTATGAAATGTATCTATCTATGTATACTGTATGTATCTATGAAATTTGAAGAGAAGCAATAAAAAATAATAAAATAAAATAAAATCTTTTTTAAATCTTAAATTTTTAAATTTGTAGATAATTAGTTTGTTTTAATTTTTTTGAGTTTTATAAATTATATATTGTATATTTTAGAGATTCAGAAAATTTTGGCCAACAGATTTTAAAATCATTATGCGGCTGTAGAATCAAGATGTATGTATATGTATATGCAGGGTCGCAGAAATATCTTAATACAAATTTGCATATGTATCGAGATATGTATTCGAGATACGTGTGCATGTTCATTTCTAATGTAAGTATTCATACGTTATGACTTTTGGTTATTCAAGAAACATATAATAAAATATTAACTTTTTTAATAGTATTAAATAACTTTTTTATTTTTTTTTAAATAGTGTTATTGTTTTTCAAATAATATACAAGCATGATGCGAGTATTCAGAGAGGAAGCAGACATTATACATATACATATATATATATATATATATATATATATATATATATATCCAATATTATGCAAGCAAATTTAATTATGTTAAATTGCGTTAAATTAAATTGCGTGCGCAATTGTGTTAAAATACGAATTCCTCTGTATATATTTCACAAATAAAAAATAAAATGATAAAGAATAAAACAATAAAATTTTTTTATTAATTTTTACATTAAAACTGTTAATTTACACAAAATGTATTTTAAATTATTTGAAGTTTGTATTTTTTGTATTAAAATATTAACATATTAAGTATTCGTGTCATTTAACATATCTGTATTAAATTAACACAAAAATTTCCGTAGAGAGTTTAAGACATGTGATATTTGTTAAATTCAACAAAAATTTTTTAACTGTGTTTATATTAACCTTTAAAAAACTTTTTGGAAATAAATATTTAAAGATGATATTTTTGAGGATGATAGCATTTGTAAAGATTTTTCATATATGCTTCAACGTGTGCTTAAATTCATATGTTGAGGCATTCCTGTTTCTGTACATAAAAGTTGATTAGTCATGCGACTAGGCTCGAGATATATATACAGATTGAAGTTGTATTACATAATGACGTAACCTATTCATAATTTTTAATCGTACTTTCGAGAAAAATATCGTAAAAATTATTTGAATAAAACTGATACAGTTGATCGCTAAATCTCTGTGATATAGTTATATGATTTATCTTCTACCTTGATATTTCGATTCTCTTTCGTTAGATTTTATTTAAGAGAATTATGCTATACAAGGTGTTCCTAAGCTGGCAATAAAGATTTTATTGACAAATTATTTGTAGCATTTCAAGACAAAAATTCCAATACAAAAATATCGAGACTGCTAATATTTTTGAAATAGAAAAAGATTATGAATAATAAGATTCGAATCAAATAGAATAATAGAAATATAACTAGAATAATCAAAATATAAATAAATTTTAAGTAAATAACAAAAATTAATGATAAA